TGGGTGGGTGGGAGCCAATGTGGGTGCAGTGTGGGGGTGCCCATTTATGTGGGTGCTGCATTGGGGGAGGTGCCCATATGGGTGGGTGCCAGGTTGGGGGGCATGCTCACATGGAGGGGGGGTGCCTGTGTGGGTCATCCACATGGGTGGGTGCCCACCTGCGTGTTCATGCTTCACTCCCTGTGGGGCTGTGGGGTCCCAGCAAGTTTCACGGAGTCTCCTCCCTTCCTCCCTCCCCCATGCCCAAAAAGTAGGGCTGAAAATCTCCCTTTTTCCTCTAGGGTTTTTGCCCCTGTCACCACCTCCACATTCTGCCTGCTGCTACCTCTTATGGTCTCTGTTTCTTTTTCTTTTTTTTTTTCTGAAAAGTTTTCCATAAGGAAAACTTCTAAGGGAGCCCACAGCGCTGTGCGTGCTGCTTAAATAGACGTGAACTGATTCAATTAGGTGTGCAGTCTCCTAAGCAGCAGCCCTGCGGGCAGGCTGGACTGCCAGTCGTGACCCCTGCCACGTGTCCCACCGAGGCCTGGGCCACCCTATGCCCTGTGCGCCCTGTGGTTAGCAGAGCTCAGCCAGTAACACCTGGTCTTTAATTTTTTTTTTTTAATTTCCATTTAGATAATGGTTACATAGAAGGGAAGGAACTTGACAATTTTTTTCATCATCTCCTGGAGAAACTGGAACCAGAAGTAAGTACTGTGCTGCAGCTGTACATCAACTCCCAATAAAAAGGTCATTATGTTTAGAGATTTTTGTATTTATTGCACTCTGATTGCTGGCTTCCTTAGCAATGCCTGAGGTAAAGAGCTTTCCTCTTAGCAACAAGGTGGCTTTTAAGGTTTGATAAAAGGTGGGATAACATTAGAAGTTTAATCATTTATTTTCAGTCCAATATCTGTTTTCGCCATGAGACTGTAGTTGACCCAAGTTTAAGATGCTGGCTGGAAGCAAATAGGGAAAGTCATTCAGTGCCAGTGAACATAAACAAGAAGAAAAGCCCCGATACACAGTCTGGCAGGGCAAGGCAGCGCAGAGCAGTTATGTTTTATTCAAGCAAGCGCTGGTTAGTTTTGTTACCACGATAGGTTTATTTCTGAGGTCGGTTTTTACCAGATAGTCTGCCATTAATTTTAAATAGTGCTAATGAAGATGAAGCATGCCTGTGTCCCTGAAAGTGGCTAGAAGCCAAACAGAAATCACTTCCGTTGGTCGTAAGGTCAAGCTCTGGGTGCCAAGTGTGGCTTTTGGTTTCTCTTCCTGTTCTCTTTCGTCGTTTTGGCAGTATTTCTCCTCTTTTACTCACTAGGTCTCAGCTCTAGTAGGAGTCGCACAACCATTTGCAGGGGCTGGTTTCCTCCTCTCCAACTTGTACCTTGCCTTTGACTGTCACTCCAAGTTAAGCAGAGCCACTCAGGTGGTCTGTTCAAAAGTATGATGAATATGTTTTGATAACAGTCTTTGTTTTCACTGTGCAGCGTATGGTCGATTAGTGAGAGAAAAGGAGTAAGCTTCTTCTGAGCGGTAGGATACGCGTGCCAAAAACCAGGAAAAAATTCCATTAAGCAAAAAGTAATTAACAAAAAGGAAAAAGATAGCCAATAAAAATCACAAGCAAATTCATAAATATTAAGGGAAAATTAAGAATTATACTTAGAAGCCAATTACTTTGGATCCTTGGGGCTATACTAGAAAAGATGTTATGAATCATTTGTCAAGCAAGTTTTTGTTTAATGCACAAGTAATTTTTGTCTGCAATGTTGGCAGTTTCTGGAGCATGGATAGACAGATGAACGGCTAGGCAGATAAAAAAATTTAAAGTAAAAAAAAAAGAGATTCAAAGGTAAGCACTAAGACTCATTAGAGACATGGAAAAACTGATCTGAGGAGAAACTGAAAAGCCTGTAATCATTTGCCTTGGAAAAAAGATGAAATTGGGAGCTGCTAGTCTCTTGGTCTTGAAACACCAGTGCAAAGTACACTTGAATGAGCTGAATGACTGCAAATGCAAAATATTTGAGGAGAGGTTATTTCACACTATGTGCAACCAAGCGGCAGAGCTCAGCGCGGCAGCAGCTCGCTGAAGCCAAGGGCCTCCAAGCGGGGATGTCTAGAGTTACCATAGTTAGTGATAATGCTGAAGTTTAGCGTGTTAAATATCAAACAGATCTCAAACTGCACGCAGCCTCCTCACAGTCAGCGCTCAGGAGGAGCCTTCTGCAGCCCCATGCTAGTCTGTAGCTGCCCCTTTCTTGCTCTTCTCGCAAACGAGCATTTTGGAGACAGCGTACTACACCAGCTGAGTTGCAAACCTGGTGTTTTACAGCAATTTTTTGTAGTCCTGTTGAGGTCAACATAAACTCTATTATGCAGTGTCGAGTATCAACACATAGACACATGCAAAATTAGGGTGCTCTAATACTGAACTATTTCACTTTGCGAAATCAACAACAAACAGCTTAAGTGGTTGCCAAAAGTCACTGCTCACATTAACACAGTTTAAACCAGCACGTGCAACTAGCTTTCCTCTCATTCGTTTCCACTACCATCTAAGTTTCATCATTAAAAGGAGAAGCTTAACACAAGCGGAATTAAGAAAGAGCCAACTTTCTCACTCTCTTCTATGGAAGAACTAGACTAATTCAGGAGTAACGCGTTCACTAATCGCTACAGGTGCTGAAATAGGCTCTCGAGTAATAGGATCCTGTGTTGTCTTGCTCGGTAGTGTGTTTTCAGTCCTCACTGCGGTTTAGGGGCGAAATGGTCTCGCAGCCAGCAGGCAGGAGTCCGAGCAGCCAGTCTCGACGGCCTGCTCTCCCTCAAGTGTATTTTCCCACAGAGGCACAAAAACGAGGGTGAGCAGTGTCCTGTGAGACTGAGAGTAGACCCCATCCCTTGGGTGTGATCAGCTCAGCACCTGGGCTTGTTCTTATCTGTCTCCTAGGTATGAGGCTCACCTGTGGCATTAGATAAAGCAAAGGTCTCTGTTACCTTTGTACAATGAGCAGGTGTAGCAACAGCCATTTTTCTCTTTGTCATGTGCCTTATTTTGTGTCGTATTTGTGGCTGTTGCGTGAGGGATAAACTGCGCTGTTTTTCACTCTTCTGTGGAAAGGTAACGGCATTAGCGATAGGAGCACAGAGCTGGGAATGAGCATCTCTGGGTTTTAACGGTAGCTTTGACATTCATTCTTTCTTTACGCTCTTCAACTCTCTGTTTCCTTGCCCAGTGAAAGGGAGAGACAGTAATATATACTGACATAGCTTCCAGATGTATTGCAAGGATTAATTAGTAACTATGTCTAAAGTGCTATACAAGTGATAAATAATGTTATCCGCTCTGAAAGTTGTCTCTGCTTGACTAGTGAATAGTTTCATAATTATATTTTTTCAGCCTGTGCTCTCTAAGCTGTTATTTTCCCTTAATGACCACTGTAGTCTTCAGCTCTGTTTTTCTTCCCAGCTACTCTGTCGCATCCTCAGCTGACACTAAATGCCAGGGGATCAGAGCAGCTGGGAAAACAATGCAAAACGGCGCACCCCGGCGATCTGAGAACCAGGTTTCTCAGTGATGGGTCTGGGCAAGGGAGGAAACTTGGAATGTCATCCACCAAGGGAGGCGAATTCAGCCTCTTCTACTGAGCCATCAGGAATTTGAGGGTGAAGGGGAAACTCTGAAACAGAGGAACACCTGGAGCGTGCCTATGCCTTTCAACTTTATAATAAGCTGAGCCAAATCCCAGATTGTGCAATCTTTCTCTCCTCCCCTAGCGGTGGGCAGTTTTAACAAAAGGCCTACGATTTCCAGATGTGTGTTACGCACACACAAGGCTTTAGTGAAATATTTTGGATTTATGACACTGATGGACTTGAAGTTCATATCAATTTTCCATCAGCTGGACGAGCTAATGTAAAGTGGTTTGTTTTTGTCTGGCGTGAAGACAGAGAATCGGGGATAATTCAGCCCAGTACGAGCATCAGTTTGTGAATTGCTGTCTCTCATTATACATCTGCCCTCATTACTCCCACGGCTTCTCTCCAACTGCTTTAGCTGCCAGCTGCCGCATGGGCACTGCATGCTGCCTGTGCTCTGTTCTCCCGCTTCCTCACAACCCTTTCTCTTTTACATCGCAGACATCTATCTGTGTATATATCATTTCTAAAAGCTGTTATACCGGGGCTTTTGGGTGAAAACTTAGTGAAAAAGACTTTAACTTCAACACTAATGCAATAATTTTACAGGATCAGGAAAACATAACCCCTAAATTTCTCTCTTATATCAATGTATATCTTTCTGTGTAGAGATCATATAGCGATTCCTTGCTCTTTGCTTTAGTTTTAATGAAGCTTTATGTACATTCTTGTAATAATTAGGCAAGAAGAGATTTATATATGAATGGCTATAAATTTCAGATTTGTCTTTTGCTGACAATTTCTGTGAAATCAATGAAATCTGGAGAGATACAAGAGGAAATGCACATTACCATTATGTTTGCAGGGTTCTTTTACAGAAAGGTATTTCACTTCAGTTAAATTATACTAAATTAAACTAAAATTAGGCAGAGATTTAGGAACAGAAGACCTTTCAGATTAAAGTTTGCTGCTCTTACCTAAATGCAGGTGCGTAAGAGGCCCTGTGTGATAATCTTTGAAAGTGTATTCAGGCAAAATGGATTACTAGTCTTGTTATAACCCCCCCCGGCCCCCAAACGCCCCTGATAGGTATGACTGGAAGGGGCTCATGTTGATCTTCAGGACTCACTCAGAATAGCTATAAAGGTTTTGTCCTTGCTTTTCACTTTCTAAGAAGATGAGCAGCCCCCAGCTACTCTTGCTGCAGCCAAGAATTTCATTCTTGCCTTGTACAATGCCTTGTCTGTCTAAATCATGTTTTTAACTTAGTGGTCAGACAGTATGGTCAGCAATGCAATAGCCAGCTACATTTAATGTCCAAAATACCACCCAGGCACAGAGCCATCCAACGCAGACTTCCCACGCCTGTCTAGCACAACCCCTCCATATAACTATCCGGAGAGACCCAGGATCACAGACCAGGCCTCTGGTGACCAGCAGGTCCCCAGCAGGTAAGACTGAGAAGACCCTTAGCAGAAAGCATTCAGTTTGCATCCTCCTCTAGACTAAACCAGAAATCTAAACCCCGAGTTGATTGTGATTATTGCCCAAATATATTTATTTCTTAGACCTGGTTTTGTCAACTTTGATGATTTTGACCTATTCCTTTTCCTGTTCCTGCATGTTACGGCAAGACTCTGTCTGTAAGCACCTGGAGGCATCTATAAAGGCAGTTGCAGCACAGCTGTGGGAAAAACAGAAAACAATTATGTATTTTCCATACCCAAAGGCATGCAAAAAAACTTTCAGCCTAGAGGAAAGGACAGAATGAAGAATCTGTCCAAAGCCTAAGCACAAAAACATGAAAGCACATGGAAGGCTGTAATAAGCTTTGTTTGAGGCTGATGTCTTCTACATGAAAAGATGTTTCCCACATAAGTGTTGAGGAGAGCTAAAAGGCATGACAGAGGAAGTGCTCATCTTTAATAGCATGCAGTCTTTATTGAAATACAGAGCCAAATTCTCAAGCGATAGCACTGCAGTTAAATAATCAACATTGGCCCAAAGGAGAAGCTGGCCCAGTAGCTGCAGGGTGAAATCACGTGTTAATGCAGGCAGA